GCAGGCTGCCCTTCGGGAATCGGCACGGCCGTGCTGGAAGTGGCACGGCCGTGCAAGCATGGCAGTAGCTGATCCGCATTATCTTCAATTATGGCACGACCGTGCTGAATTTGGCACGACCGTGCTAATGCCTGGCACGGCCGTGCTGAATCTGGCACGGCCGTGCTAATGCCTGGCACGGCCGTGCTGAATCGGTCACGGCCGTGCTGAATCTGGCACTGGCACGGGCATGGAAATTGGCTTGGCACGGCCGTGCTAAAAGTGGCACGGCCGTGCAGCATAGGCAGGAAGGTTGCAGGCACTTTGGTCTTCTTAAAACAGTCACAACTTCTTATCCAGAGCTTCGTTTGAGGCGTGCAATATATCGTTGGAAAGCTCTTCAAGACTACTTTCCAATGCAATTAGAATCACTCCATTATCATTTGTATACCGAAAGTTGTGAGTAAAATAGTGAACAGGTGTCATATTTGTGAACTGTTCTGCCTTGCCTGCTACTTAACTTGCCTTTCAAGGCCTTGAGAACCGCAGCAAAGCCTTAGCTTGGTGGACTAGGATCGATAATAGCCTGATTACGCACCAATGGTTCGGGACTCGACATAACTTGGTCAACTATACCTGTTAACACACCAAAAACAGACCGAAACCCGTGAAGCACGTAATATGAAGGAAACGAGTGTAACAAGGCAATAAACGACCAAAACGGGCCTAAATACATCCAAAATCACCCATTTATATGCCTTAAAGCGCGCCCTAATGTGCGCTTGTCAAAGCATCATGTGCATCATGCAACAAGCCTACTATGTCATCATTGAAATCATTTGGGTTTGACCCTTCATCATTATCCAAAATAGTCTGTTCCCTTTCAATGTTAATGTTGATCCCTAACTCTGATAACTTATCCATTCGAGGAACAAAACCATTACAAATAAGGTGATCTCTCACAACACTTTCATGACGCCAAAAACGATAATGACAACTTTCACAAGGACAACAAATTTGATTTCCTTGAGACTTGAAAGCAAAAGCCTTTTGTACATATTCATCTACTCCCCGCTCATATTCATCACTCCATTTGGCAAACATCCACCACTCTTTAGTTCCACTATCCATACCTTAGGATAAGATTTAAGAGGGTCACTTTAATTAATTTTTACTGTAAAAACATTTATCAAGTGTATTTCTATTGGCACTAGGAAGAAAGAGAACTACTCTAAAAATCAGAATACTTAAAACTAGTGTATTTCTATTGCCAAGGATAACTTTATCAATTTTAATAAGGAAGGACTATCAAAGTTATATTCATACAAATTTATGACCCACTTTACATTAATCGAGTAACAATGAAAAAGAAATGAGATATTAAAAAGAGGCAAGTGTAAATAGTAAGGAAAGTTAAAAAGCCTTAAACTAATAATATTGGGGAGAACACATATCAAAGTATAATCATTCTTCTAGTATTTTAAGAGCCACCATCAAATAAACAATACAAATCAAGATAGACTAGAGTTTGGGCAATGAAAAACAAGGAAAACATAAAAATACTCGAAGGGCAGTTGGATTATGGAGTAAAAACTATAAATTAGCGATGCAATGAAGAAATGATGGTGCTAGCTGTGCATGTCTTGTAGTACTAGACTACTAGAAAGTACATACAATAGTACTAGTAGTAAATAACTGGTGATAAAGCTAGCATGATACACATAAATTACTAATTAAGCTGAATCATTTTTGTTTTCATAAACAAAATTTTGTTTTAATACTAGCTAGCTATGGATATATTTCTACTTTTAAATAGTTTACAAGTTCGGAAATTTCTATTTTTTACAACTTCAAATATTAAAAATTATTGTACGGCAAATTTTAAATTTTTGATTTTTTACCAACCCGAAAGAGTTGTACTTCGTATAATTTTTTAATGACTTTGTTTTACTAATCTTATTATCACTTGCTACAATAAATTAAGTTCAAATAAGAATAAACAAACTCAAGCTTTGATATGGATGGGTTAATTATCTAATAAGTTTAATTTACAGTTACAACAAGTTTTAATAAGCTCCAATAAGTTCATGTGATTAAACTTCATGCATGTGAATAATTAAGATAACACACATGTAAGAATGACACGAAAGATAAAGGAAATACGAACAAGTATTTATATTAAAAAAAAGTAATAAAAAAATTGAAAAAGAGAAGAGGTTGGTATAGGCATGATGGTGTTTGCTATGATAATACTTTGATTCACACTGAGCCAATGCTGAAATGAATGAAATGAGCCAATTAACCATAAATAAACATTGTTTCTTGTTAATTGATCCTTGCATTGTTGTTGGTATTTAAAAAAAGATCATGTGCTTCCCACCCTCCATGCAATATATGTTGTCCAACTCTAATACATATAGTTATAATTAATTATAATTAGGATTTACTAATTAAATAATTAGGATGGCAGAGACGTGATAGTTTTCCAAACACAAAAAATACTCATCTAAAGATAGATGACCAAAACATTGCTGTTCAATTGGTTTGGTTTGTTCCAGTATTAATATGCCTAAGCACACTTCATTACAGCTACACAAACTCTAACAGAAAAGAATCCCACTTCTAACTAACTGAAAAATGACAAAATTGCAAAATTTACAAGCTAAACAAACTTTCCTGCCAAAATCAGTTTTAATTAAAATCCTCCTGTAACAGTGATGGAGAATGGTAGGGGGATTTATTATTGTAGACTTTGTGGTCATCCTAAGTTCATTGCTTCAATGATGTTTGAGTATTTTAATTTATATTTCTTTATTTTTAAAGGAATGGGAGGCAGGACAAATGTTGGGATGTCCAACTCAGTCACTACTACAATTCGTGAGTGTACGGGGGATGGCTATTGGTAAAACAAAGAATACGGAGAAAGCAGATCATACAACTGTTGAACAGGTGGGTACATTATGGTACTACATAGAGGAGCTGCAATCTCTAGAAGAGCAACTAGAAATGAGTCTTTAAGGGCTTCGTATGAAAAAGGCAAGAAACTCGTTACTTGAGAGTCTAAGTAGCTAGTTAACTTCAGTTTCAGTATGAAAATTAGTTGTCTTAATTTATTTTGAGCAATCTAATAGCATATAGATTATAGATAACCAAGCACTTCATATTAGGGTCAAACAAGAGTGATATATGGTAATAATTACTCGTGCATTCTCTGAATTCTTTTGATTTACATCAGTAGTGACTGACAAATTGTCTAAGACTGTTACAGTGAATTGGTGTCTAAAAACTTGAGTGAGATGTTATTATATGCTTTTTCAGTCTCTCAATCCACCCCCCCCCCCCCCCCCAAAAAAAAAAAAAAGAGTATTGCCATGATTGTAATATATATGAGCTCTTCACTTCAATTTTAATGCAATGTATCAGAAAATCACAAGAGACCTTGACATGCGTACTTGAATACCTTGTTAGGGTTGTGCAATAGCAACAACAACCATGCAAGTCGGGCATTTACTGAACAATGCATCCTATTGTACTTACAATAGGGTACAACTTACACGAACAACCAGCACCCCGAAACATTTAGTACTTCTAGATCACTAAAGTCTTATATCTTTAAGATAGATGCCACCAAAAATACAAAGATATGCCACCAAAACTATCAATCAGTCTCCCTATATCAAATCATAAATTGATTCCAACAAGGCAACAACACTTTACTAATTGCCACAAAATGTGCTCCATAGGGTTGATAAATCTGTGCTAAATTGACTGACAATTTCCCAACTTAGCTTAGAGTAAAGAATAATATGATAACTTCAACACATAATGCTAAATCCCTGCAAACTTCATAGTCAGGCAAAGTCTATTTGTCTATCAACAATCAATTGTAACACTCAAAGAAAACAAAGTATTACTTGATCCAGATAAGCTAACAATAACCTTTGCACTTCTCAACACTCATTAAATGGCCAAACAACTCCCTTCGTTGACCTATTTTTGGCGAATCTGAATTTTTCCAAAGCAACTCAACTTATTATGTTTTTTATCCTCAAACTTAACACCATGCAAGCAGCCTCATTCCCCCAAACCAGCCACCCCAAATCATTATATCTTCTTAATATCCATTTATATGAAATTCCCCCAAAAAAACCCCATTAGACTACTCCAATACAATCAACATTCAGTACTTCTAGGTTTAAAAAAAAATAAAATAAAAAAATCAATTTTGCTAAACAAAATCCATTAGCCGTTTAATTCTAAGAGTTACTAGAGCAGAAACTTCATCTTCCATGGCATCAAATACAAATTTCCAAACACAAAGGAAAAAACTTCAAATTTAATTAACCCAAAACGATAATTCGTTGAATACCTTGAAGAGAATTTCGAGCAATCAGCTCAAGGAAGGGACATGCAAATGAAATTGAGACCGCATGTGCCGCCTTCAGCCACCACCGCTGGAGTGCCGCCTTCGTGATTTCTTTAATTATTTTCCTCTTACAATTTTAGAGTATTTTTTTTTCGTGATTTTCGTTTCAAAATTTGAAGTATTTTTGGAGAATTGAAGTTATGAGATCTGAGAAGATGGGGAAAATGGTGAGAAATTGACAATGGGGAAAATAGAGTAAAAGGGGTATTGAAAGCTACTATATGTAATTCTGTACGTGAGAATTGAGAATAGAGGGAAGCAAATTCTTACACGTGTTGTTCAAAATATTTGGTGAAAAAAATAGAGGGAAGAATGCGCGCTTCATTCTATATTTTCATGATACAACACATGTCGTTGCAATAGCCCTCATTTTTGTTAAAATAGCTGGGCTATTGCAACGGTTCTCTACAGCCGTGGCAATAGCTATACCTCTAAGAATATTAGTGTTAAATCCGTGGAAAAAGCCCACTTTATTGCAACGGCAATTAGAATACCGTTGCATTAGAATTTATTAGGCCGTTGCATTTGGTAAAAAATGTAGTAGTGAATAGAGCTAATTCCAGGAACAACAATAATTTCCAAAGCACCTTACCGCATGGCTCCTGCAGAGATAAGCGAGTTGAAGGAGCGATTGGAAGATTTGTTAGAAAAGGGGTATATAAGACCTAGTGCATCGCCTTGGGGTGCACCAGTGTTATTTGTGAAGAAGAAAGATGGAAGTATGAGATTATGTATTGATTATAGGGAACTGAATAAGGTCACCATAAAGAACAAGTACCCTTTACCAAGGATTGATGACCTATTTAACTAGTTAAGAGGCACAAAGGTATTTTCCAAGATTGATCTTAGGTCCGGATACCATCAGCTTAGGATCGCGGACGAAGATATTCCCAAAACTGCATTTAGGACAAGATATGGTCATTACGAGTTCATAGTAATGCCTTTCGGATTGACAAATGCCCCAGCAATTTTTATGGACTTGATGAATAGGGTAATTCATCCATTTATGGACAAGTTTGTGGTAGTGTTCATAGATGATATACTAGTATATTCAAAGAGTAAGGAGGATCATGTAGAACATTTGAGGGCAGTTTTGCAAACACTAAGGGAAAACAAGCTTTATCCCAAATTCTCTAAGTGCGAGTTTTGGTTGGAGAAAGTGGTATTCTTAGGACATTTCGTGTCTAAAGAAGGAGTAGAAGTACATCCAACGTGTAGGGTTTCGTAGTGACCTGACACTACGCGGAAGGAAACCCCCCAAGACCCGCACCTTAATTAAAGCAATTAACAAGCATAATAAACTTAATCAAACAAGACTAAGAACAAGAATTATACCTTTGTTGCGTGCTTCGCTCCCGAAGAGCTCTTACTTCAAAATCCCGAAACTACGAGATCTCTGACAGATCGTACCCTCGACCCGACCCGAGCGTCTTAAGTCTTGAAGGTTAGTCAAGACCCGGACAAAACAAAACTATGAGTTTTACGAATCAAAGGTTTACTCTAATTATAGGAGTTTCCTTTTTAATTCCACTAAAGGTTGTTCATTTCCCAACACCCTTGAAGAGTACTTATAAGGAAATGAATCCTTGGTTTTCAATTACCCATCAATGTGGGAGAGTTGGTGAAATGATAATTATGTTATTCCAAAATTAAAATATTAACCAATTCAATCACAAATTGAAACATGGCACAATAATAGAGAAAGCCAAGTGAGGACAAAAGGCTTGGGGGGCCATTGCCTTGATCCCCAAGCCATTTCTCAAAGCAATGGTCCCCACATGAAAAAACGGCTCAAACAAGGGCTGTTGGGCTGCTGCTAGCTAGCACGCCAGCTAGTAGTGCCAGCTAGCCCAGCCAGCTAGCACCAGCCTGCCCAGCAGCCTCGCATCCCAGCCTGGTGTGCATGCTTGGTGCTGGGCGATGCTAGGCGCTGGTGTTGGCCAGTGCTAGGCGCTGGTGCTAGCCTTCGCATCTATCGCAGCACCTCTCGCACACCATTGCTAGCATAGCCAGCATGCGTGCTGCTAGCGAGCCACGCATGCTAGCCCCCTTTGCCTCGTACCATGCACATCAGCCTCGCAGAACATGCACTAGCCACGTACCATGCGCACTAGTCACGCACAGCACGCATCACACCACGCACCAGCCTCGCGCCATTGCTAGCCCAGCTAGTGAGCCTACGCACGCAAGGCCTAGCATGCGTGCTGGGCGATGCTTTCTAGGCATCCTCGCACTAGCACGCATAAGCCAGTGCCTAACACTGCTATGCTTGGTGCGAGGCACGCACACACGCACATGCACATGCGCTAGTGCCTAGCACTGCGATGGCTTTGCTTGGTGCGTGTGTGGCCCTACTGTGTTGCGATAGTGCACGATGGTGCCTAGGCATCATGCCAGGGTTGCGTCAGCGCCTAGGCAAGATGTTAGGGCTGCGATGGTCAGCAATGGGGTGCCTAGGCTGCGATGGTGCGCGTAGGCTTGCGCCTAGCCATGCTAGGTGCATGCTAGCTCGAACTAGCCTAGCATCCACATGGCTAGGCCAGTATGGTGCTAAGGCTATTTTTATACTTGTCTCTTTGTGATTTTGCGACGCTCGGTCTCGGTGCCCTAGGCTCGATATCTGACGTCTGTATTCGTAAAACTCTGTCGACTCATTAAATCCTTTCGGATTAATTCGTTGTCTCGGATCGGTGATTCGATTGGGTTCGACTCAAAGGGTTCACTTAAGATTAAGTTGCAATACCAATTGTACCTTGATAATACTAATCAGAAGCGGCCTCCACCTAGGCATTCCGATCACTTGATCTTACTGAAGAATTAACTCTATAATATTTCTGAACCCTCTATCGAAAGAATACACTTATTGGAAGGACACCATTCCTTTCACAGCAAAGATTGAGGCAGTAAAGAGTTGGCCTATGCCAAAAACCGTATCGGATATTAGGAATTTCCTAGGTTTGGCAGACTATTATAGGCGTTTTGTGAAAGACTTTTCGAAAATTGCTAAGCCTATGACCACGGTAATGAAAAAGGATAAGAAGTTTGAATGGGATGACAAATGTGAAGAGGCATTCCAAATCATGAAACAAACACTAATAACAACACCAGTGCTTAAACTGCCAGATGATAGTGGTATATATGATGTGTATAGTGACACATCTAAGAATGGTCTAGGATGTGTACTTATGCAAAATGGGAAAGTGATTGCTTATGCATCAAGGAAGTTAAAAGACTCATGAAGTAAATTATCTAACCCATGACTTAGAATTGGCTGCAATTATTTTTGCACTAATAATCTGGAGGCACTATTTTTATGGAGTGAAATGTAGAATCTACACAGACCACAAGAGTTTGAAATACGTTTTCACCCAAAGAGACCTAAACTCACGCCAAAGGAGATGGTTAGAGTATACCATAGACTATGACTTAGACATACAATATCATGAGGGGAAAGCGAATGTCGTCGCGGACGCTCTAAGTCATAAAACCAGTCATGGACTGAATACCTTGATAGTGGCGGATGAGTTATGTAGGGAAATGAGGAAAATGAACCTAGAGGTAGTAGAATGGGGAGTGTCAGTAGGTATACTTGCGAATCTAAGTATTCAACCAACAATATTCGGTGAGATAAGGGAGAATAAAAAAGGAGATGTAAAGTTGGATAGGATTCGTGAGAAAATAAGACAAGGAAAAGCCACAGACTTCAAGTTTCATGATGATGGTAGCATAAGGTACAAAGGCCGTTGGTGTGTACCACAAAAATGTGAGGAGGTAAAGAGGAAATTAATGGAAGAGGGTCACAATACACCATACTCAGTGCACCCTGGAGGAGACAAGTTGTATAAGGACTTGAAAAAGGTGTATTTGTGGCCTAGGATGAAGAATGAAGTTGCGGAACTGTGCAATCTTTAGAAATTCCTGGTTGGAAATGGGATTGTATTTCAATGGACTTTGTGACTTGCCTCCCAAAGTCAAAAGGTGGAAATAACACTATTTGGGTAGTGGTGGATAGACTCACAAAATCTACAGTGTTTATACCAATGAAGGAGATTTGGAAAATGGAACAACTTGCAAAAGCTTTTATAAAAAATGTAGTGAGATTACATGGAGTTCCAAAGGATATAGTGTCTGATAGAGATTCTAGGTTTCTTTCAAGATTCTGGAAGAGTGTGCAGGACAATTTTGGTACAACACTTAAGATGAGTACAACCTTTTACCCTGCCACTGAAGGACAAACTGAAAGAACCATTCAAACCTTGGAAGATATGTTAAAAGCTTGTGTAATAGATTTCCAAGGGGGATGGGAAGATAGCTTGGACTTAATTGAATTTTCCTATAATAATAGCTACCATGCGAGTATTGGTATGGCCCCATTTGAGGCATTATATGGAAGAAAGTGTTGGAGCCCAATTTGTTGGAACGAAATAGGTAAAACGATGATACTAGGGCCTCAAATGATCGAGGACACAGTCAAGAAAGTGAGGGAGATCCAAGCTAAAATTCAAGCGGCTCAAGATCGCCAAAAGTGCTACGCGGATTTGAAGCGTAGAGGAGAAGAATTTATTATAAATGTGTCGCCAATGAAAGGTGTAATGAGATTTGGAAAGAAAGGAAAGCTTAGCCCTAAGTATATTGGACCCTATGAGGTATTGCAAAGGATAGGCAAAGTAGCTTATAGACTAGCCTTACCTATGGAACTAAGTAAAGTGCATGATGTATTTCATGTATCTCAGTTAAGAAGGTATATTCCGGATAAGTCCCACGTGTTACAGCCTGAGACTATTGAGTTAGATCAAAGGCTAACTTATGAAGAAATATCTGTCAAAATCCTTGACAGTAAAGTACGAAGAACACGTAATTAAGAGGTTAAGATTGTTAAAGTACTATGGTCTAACCAAGAGTATGAGGAAGCCACTTGGGAAGCCGAGGATGAAATGAAAAAGAAGTATCCCGAGTTGTTTGAAGTATGTCGAGTCACGAGGGCATAACTCGTGTCTTTAGGGGGGTAGAACGCGGTAGAATTTTCGCGCTTTTTCCCTATATTTATTGTTATTTTTGTGCTTCTTGCACATTTTTAATGATTAAGTCAACAAATGTTGATTTTAAAAGGGGCAATTAAGGAAAGTGTCACAAAAGAGTACAACAATATTACACAAAGTGAAGAAAAAGTTTGAATTTCGTTGCCCATGTTTCGGGACGAAACTTATTTTAAGGGGGGTAGATTGTAATACCCCGTATTTTTTAGGGTTTATTCAACACAAAAAGAATGATTCTAATTTAAAATATATTTTATTATTTAATAATCTTAAAAATATTGGATTTTATGATTTAAAATATTGGGGCACATTATTTTATATTAAATAATTTAAAAAGACAAGTTTTAAAGAAAGTCAAATCCTAATTCGATTAGGAAAGGGATTATTAAGGGAAGTAAGTAGGAGGGCTAAGAGGGAGTATAAATACTCCTCATGTGCCTAGGGTGAAAATTCACCTAAAGGTACGTTCTCTTTCTCCCCTCTTATTTTATTTTTCCATAATTTTCCCCTTCCCCTTTTATTTATTAATTAATTAATTTATTTTTACACCACCACCACCACACACACCAGCCACCACCACCAACCTTTCCAGTGGCAGCAGCCACCAGGCAGCGTGGCAGCGGCGGCCAGGTGGTTGCATATTGTGTATTCGTCGTTCATAATTTTCTTAATCTCGATGTAATCACAATTAAATTCGAACTCGTCTGATTTTTACAAAAAAATAGTGTTTTTCGTGTGCAAACAGTATTCTAAACAAAAATAGTGTTTTGTGATGATTCTTAGGATGTTTAATAACAAGTATTTTAATTACAATTTTTAGATTTTGGTTTTTAATTAAAAAGCCCTAAGATTGGAAACCCTAGGTTTTTATATTAATGTTTATGGATGGAATTTGATTGTGGTTGATTGAAATTATTAAAATTAATGTTTTTAAACCAAATTACAGCAATTTTATAAGTTTTAATATTGCTGGAATTTTGTGTTAAAAGAGTATTAATACTTCTTTTATAATTATGGTTTGTAGAAGATTTCCAAGTGAGCGATTTCGTGTAATCGTGGCTATTTTAAAATCATATTCAAGTTACGTTCGCGTTCTTGGTAAAGTTTAAGTGTATAGAAGCATGCTAGGCTTTGTTAAATTAATTCCAAGTAGTATCATGATAGGTGTTGGATGGAATATGTTTATTGGATCGATGTTGGTGAATGACTGGTGATGTATGATTTATTTATAATGAATTAGTGATTGGAATTCATTGTATTGACATGTTGATTATGAACCATACTTTTATTATTGGCATGTTAGAAAGCATGTTTTGTTAAACTGGATGTTTATCTTGGTTTGGATTATGGAAGAGGAATTTTATTATGGTTCATATAATTTTTATTAATGCTATAAGCATGAAGAATGAGCTATTTAAGTGTCTTAGTACACATGAAAAGTTATATTGCGGTGCCTAAGTGCACTGAAGGTGTTTCTAACACCGAGGGATAGGATTTGCGGTGCCTTATGCACTTAAGGTGTTATTTAAAACCGAGGTAGTTTAAAAAGAATTCCACACTAAATTTATATGGTCACCAGATATTCAAGAATTAAATTGGTTGTTTGATTGCTTGAGTGAATTGTCATGTTTGGTTTTTTTGTGTTTGAGAGTCATCACCAAGTCTAATAATTTATAAATCATGTAAAGTGAAAGAGATTACACACCAAAACTCTTGGAACGTATATACCTTGAGTATGAACATATGGGGGGGGGGGGGGTTCTGCGACTTTATATTTGACCATAACTCCTAGTGGAGGTACAGGACACTGTACTTTCCATTTTATTATTTATTATGTGCAGGATCAAGTCACTTCATGTGGCATTTGCCTACCCGGTTAGCTCCCGGTGTAGTTTACCTCAATTTATTTGAGGCAGGTAGTTGGTAGGAAACCCGTTCGATGTGTAATAAAAATTAAATAAATATTAATTAGTAGTCGAGTCAAATGATGAATGTTGTGTGCTTGTAAACAGGTGAATCGAGGTAAGTTGTATGGTGATAGGATGAAAGCATGTTAGTGTGTGTTAATTACGCTTATGTACTCAGCTTTGCTGATTGTGTGTATTGTGCGTTTGTCTGGCCTTGTCTTTACCTTGGCCCTACGACGACCCATTTCTAATGGCGAGTAGTGGGGACAAGTAGAGAGAAGCTTTTCAGGTAATGAAGCATAATTATGAAGGGGCATGAGTAAAGAGTGAATCATGCTTAGTTCTCGTTAGAATATGATGTGTATATTGCATTAATTTATTATTTAATTATGTTGATTGTGAGACTAACGCAAAGAGGTTTTCAAGTGTTTTGGTTTAAGGGGCCTACAAAGGTTCCAAGTTGTAGGTTGACTTCGGTTGACTTTGTTTGACTTTGTTTTACTTTTACTTTCGTTTGGTTTGACTTTTAAAGTAGACTTTATTTTAAATAGTTTTAAAGGTAGTCTTTCGTTGTGTGTCTTTGATAATTGCCTTAGCCGTTTTCACGGTGGCGGTAATGTCTTAGATTTTCCTTCTTCGTATTTTGAAAAGGGCAAAACACGTATTTTAAAAGGGAAGGAATTTCCAGGGTGTTACAATTTTCATCTCTGAAAAGGGCAGGGGTACGGTTAGGCGGCCCCACGATGACTTTGTCGTCTTCGAATGTAAGGTCGCCAATCAACGAGTTGGTGGGATCTAAATCGATATCGGGTGTTCGTATGACGTGATAAGCTACCGCTGCTTGACGAAGCTCAAGCACAAGCCCAGCAGTATGCACAAGGCTCCCCACTCTCTAGTCGGTTTTTGAGGCGGGGTAGTGCATCCGGTGGGTAGGATTGACCTACCCATCCGGCTGGGAGGCAAAGGGGAAGGACGACACATGGTCGTCAAGTTTGTGGTGGTCGAGGAACTGACATCCTACAACCTCATATTGGGCCGTCCGACCCTCAACGAGTCTAAAGCCGTTATCATCCCTTCTTTCATGCTGATAAAAATCGAGAAGGATGATGGGTCAGTAGGCACCCTAAACGGGGACCAAAAGGCGGCAAGAGAGTGCTATCTCTCAGACGTCAAGCCGACAACCCATGTAGCCGGTCCCAGCGAGGAACATACTAACCTTGCGAACAAAGAAGCTGGGCCTGCCCCTAAGGCAGGCAGTACAAAGAGAAAGGCGGACCAACTAGCCCCCTCCAGAAA